TGACTTAACTATATTCACCCCCTTTCCCCTCCAAAAAATACATATATCCATGGATATATAGATGCAGATAGAAAGATAGAGATATGGATATCTACACCTGAACTAGAGAAAGGAGTTTCAAAGATGAAGACAGTGCCTGACCCCAGAGCTCTCATCATCTCATATAGAGGTGTAGAGAGAAGTGGCCAGTTTACACTCTATCCTCTTTTCCCTGATTATTAATCCATTGTATTGTATTTTGTTCAGGTCTCAGGGTGTGTCCCATGGCAGGTCTAGGAGTTCAGATTAAGACCATCCAGAGTGACCTGAACTTCTCTGTCTCTGTCCAAAAACATCCTGAAAGACTGATCTGAGCCTGGGCACACGGATGGAAATGTGAATTCAGATAACTCCAGGATGTCCCGTGTGAACAGGAATAGCCTGGGGTGGGGACGGGTGGGGGTAGCACCTGGAATGCAGGGTGTCAGGGGCTTCAGGGCGCAGTTTGCTATGGCCGTGCTTCATTTGCCCCATGTCAAGCTTTCTTTCGTGTGGATCGTAAGCTGTCTCCGAAAGCCGGGATCTGATTAGTTTGCATTTGATTTCTTTGCTGCCTAATGAACTGCCTCTGTAATTCTAGCTGTGATGTCATTAGCATCTCATTGCCTTGGGCAACAACTCAGGAGAGAGATTCTTAAGCAGTCCAGAATCCTATAGGAATTGTACCAATTTACTTCCTGACAATGAATTCACCTTTATGGCCTGTCAGTTCCCACCAGCAGAGTAGAGCCTGCATGAGGATGGGATGGTCACCTTCATCACTCTCGTATGCTCCTGAGTCTAGGTGGGTGAGTATGTACATGCCTAAGGCCATGGGCACATCCACAGTGAGATTCTGAACATTGAGGATGCCAATATTCTCAAACCACCATATTCTATTGGGGAAATTCATCCACTGAGTGCTGTAGGATACAGATTTAGCCCAAAGCAAATGGCATTTATTTATAGCAAACTGTATTTGCAAAATGGTTTGCAGTTTTGAGATTGTTAACTACATTCCAGGTTGGCTGTTCTTCTACTTGTAAGAGCACTAAGTGTGCTGGCTGGACTCCAGAGCCTCCCCTGAGAGGAATGGGGTGAATTCTGCCAACAGGGGTGGGAAGGGGCCACACATGGGTATTCTTAATCAGAAGGTACTTTTGTGAATTATAATCTTTTAAGACCTTAATTGTAGCTTCTTTCTTATGTCCAGAGACTGTGTACTTGTTGAAGTAGAATATTCATTTTATTAAGAGACAATGTAGCGTCTCAAGTTACTAGAGCATTTCTACCCAGGAGCTGCAGGGCAGAAGAGGGCAGAAGTACCAGTGCACTGTATTTGGAGTGGGCAGTGGAGGGGGAGCCACGGAACCATGAGGAGGTCAGGTGGGGTCTCCTCCCTGGGACTCGCCACACCCAACCTCTCTGCCACCCACTTAACCCTGAGGAGGAGTTATAAGCAAGTCTCAAAGATCAGACTCTCCTGAAGCTTTTGGGATTTGGACCACTCTTCCGCTTGCCACAGACATGATGGTTATAGGTGCTCTCTTTGGGCACAGGGAGATTTATCGAGGCTTTCACCACCAGACTCCATCATTCTAAGGAGTATTTCCCAATTGTATCTTTAAGTGTACATGGAAAATGCATTTCCTCTCTGAAAAATCTCCTCCTTGCACACATCTCTATTCTTTGCTGGAGCCTGAATAGATGGCTTTGGGGAGTTCGCTGCTCATTACTTCTGTGTAAATCCAGCTCCTCTCTAGACAGCTCCATCCTGCATGGCAAGGGGACCGGAGGGGCAGTTACTCCCGGCCTCTAGCAGGGCTCACTGTATATGGACCTGAATATTCAGGAGAAGGAAAATATGATTCTGAATTCAAATAAGAGTTTGGTGACCTCTCACCATCTTCTTCCGTAACCTCCTTCCCATGCCTCTCTTCTCCCTAACCTTGCACCCATCCAGGGCTGAAGGATATTGAGGGGAAAGAGCTGCCTCTTGGTTTTAATTGGGATAGCCGGAAGACAGCAATGAGGGGAGCAGCCCCTCAAATGTTTACAGCAATTACAAGCCTTCATGATGGAGCACTGGAGGGCAGGGAGGCTGTCATTCATCTCCAGGCAGTGTTTGGGCTTGCAGTGCCCTCTAGTGGCCTCATTTGTCTGTCGGAATAGTACATCCTAAGTAACGAACAGGCAGAGGGTATGTAGATAGGTGTGTATGCAGAGGGTGGGGAGTTCCTGGATATTTGGGGATTAAAGGTGAGAGAAAAGGAATTTGGTGGCATATTATTTCCCCTGAGGTAACTTGTTCTCCCTGTGAAGGACAGTGAGGGGCATTTTTTAAAATTTTCCCTTGTGAGTTTTATTTGCCCTTCATTGTCTTGTGTCTCTCACAGTTACTTTACATGTCTCTATTATTCTCCTTAGGATAAATTTTATGGAATTGTTTTACTCATTAATATTTTCTTATTCCATTGAAAAAAACCTGTGCCACCACAAATTTTTTTAAGTCTCCAGGCATTACTTTTCCGTAAATTTATTTTCTCTGGTGCCTCAGTGGCCACACAGGATTGATCACACCTTCTTCCATCTCACAGAAGTCATTTTAGACTTGATGTCACCATCTAGTGGTCATTTTGTGGAAACGCTTTGCCCAGCCTCAGTCGAATACATTCTCCCCCAGGAGGGCTCTGGGTCGACCATGCATCTGATTGTAAGGGGCCTGAGGGCCGCCAAGAGACCCTCAAGCTCTCAGGCAAGGCTTGCACAGCAGAATTTTAAAAACCTTATCTTGAAAAGAAGCACTGCATCTCTACTGTTTTTTGTTTTTGTTTTTGTTTTGGAATTTTATTCACTTTCCCAATGAATGAAGGCCTGTTTTTCAAGAAGTCACATTAAGGATCCAAAGGCCTCACCCCACCCCCAGTTTATCCCTGCCCAGTCCGCATAGCCGGTTGAAGAAGATTGGAGGCCTGGCCAGGGGCTGGGTGAGGAGGGTCCTGCCAGATCATGGCCACTCCCCAAACACTCCCAGCCATGAGTTGCATAAGCTAAATGTCAATCAAGAGTCACATGTCCGGGGGCCGCCTGGTGGTGCAGCAGTTAAGTTCGCACGTTCTACTTCTCTGTGGCCCAGGGTTCGCCGGTTCGGATCCCAGATGCGGACATGGCACTGCTTGGCAAAAAGCCATGCTGTGGCAGGTGTCCCATGTATAAAGTAGAGGAAGATGGGCATGGAGGTTAGCTCAGGGCCAGTCTTCCTCAGCAAAAAGAGGAGGATTGGCAGTAGTTAGCTCAGGGCTAATCTTCCTCAAAAAAAAAAAAAAAAAACATTACATGTGGCTTCGAGCAACATGGGGGCTAGCTCGTGGGGGCTTCTGGGCCTCCTATTTGATGACATCATTGTTGGTTTTGGCGTGTGCAGTTATGCAGTTCTCTTATAGCCTAGGAAGGGCTTGAGCTCAACTCTGGGTCTGTTATTAAACAAGATGCAAATGTGAAATGAAGTATAGCGCATATTGATGGTCACATGAATCCTTTGCCTTAGTGCACAAGAGGAGCCCCATGTCAATGGAGCTTCTGGGTACAAGCGCCTCATCTGCATGATGATGATGCTCATCTGGGAAACAGCAGGGCTGAAATGCCTCCTGACATTCCACATGGGCTCCTATTACATGGCAAACAAGAGGGAGGAAAGCAGAGCTCCCTGGACCCCAAAAGAGAGAACTCCGTTATGAAGTCAATGAGTTGCATCTCACAAGCACCTTCTGGAACCACTGTGCAAATCCTTCCAACCAGTTCCCCTAAAGATCCACCCCATCAAGTATAGCATTCTGGATGGGTCTGAGAGGACCAGAGTGAACATTCTGTGTCTGGCCATTGTTTCCAAAAGCGCAGGGGTCTCCCTGAAATTGTTTCATGTTCCAGATGACGGCTGTGCCACGAAGGGTCAGGGATCTCTTAAGTAGCCCAGGGCTTTTTGTCAGCAGACTCTACTTCCATCTTGCTTTAGAATTCATAAGTTAAATGGAAAACCATGAAGTCTTGGAAGAGAAATATCAAGCAGAGCCTTCTCCCATAGGGAACAGAGTATTATTTGCTAGTAGGCATTTCCTATGTTTGTCGCCAAAAATAAACCAAGAATTTCCCTGTCTTTTACTTCTCAGTCAAGGGTGATATGAACCTGTCTCTGAGGTTTCGGAGTGCAATCTCTTTGAAAAAGCCAAAGTATGCTCCCCATCTTTGATACATTGATTAATAATGAGGCAGAGAAGTCCTCTTCTTCTATGATTTACAGGTTCAGGAATCAGACAGAATTGGATTCAGATCCCAGCTCTCACAATATCCTAGTTGTGCGATCTTGAGGCTGTTGGCCTCATGTTCCCCATCTGTAAAATGGGTGTAATGATAGAACTCCATGCAGAGAGCCGTTATCAGGGTTAAAGAGGTCTTGAGCAGCTCCCACTTTCATAGCACAGGCTCAATAAATCTTACCGATAGTTATGATTAAAGCTATTATGATGAATCGGTGACGTGCGCTAGCCACTGTGTTACGTGCTCTAAAAACATTGTGCCATTTATTCATTACACAATGCTAGAGGTAGGTACTATTAATAGCTCCGTTTTATGGATGAAGAAACAAATCCTAGACTAAGCCCCGCCATTATTGTTTGTATTATTGGTGACAGTCATAAATCCTGCACACATACTGCAGAAGCGTCCCTCTGGGAGGAGCAGTGGAGCTGACGAGTCTCAGCAAGGAAACAACCTGGTCTCACATTGGGAGGGGCCACTCCCAACTCTGTGGGTCACTGAGAGGAGGGGTTCCCCAGATTAAGTGGGACGACAGAATCACATTCTTACCCACTCAGTGACATTGCCGACCCCTCAAGGATTTGACTCCAGCACTCAGGGGCCACGAGGTCGTGCAAGTCCCTGCTCTTTCACCTTCCTCACTGTTCCTTTTCATTTTGTGTCGGCAGGCAACTCCCCATCTGATGAGTCAGAGGAGCGGGAAAGAGACCCCAAGGTACTGACGTTCCCAGAATACATCGCCAGCCTGTCAGAGTCTGGCACCAAGCGCATGGCAGCTGGAGTCCGCATGGAGTGCCAGAGCAAGGGACGATGCCCCTCGTCCTGCCCTCTGTGTCATGTGACGTCCAGCCCTGACACCCCGGCCGAGCCAGTTCTGCTGGAGGTGACCAGAGCAGCCCCCATCTATGAATTGGTGACCAACAACCAGACCCAGAGGGTAAGAGGCCTGGGACTTTTGGCTCAGAGAGGCATCACCAACTACAGAGGGCCCTCCAAATGGCCTGACGAGGTGACAGGGTGCAGTTGAGCTCCATGCTAGAATATGGATAGTGAGACTTTTTGTTTAGGTAATCCAGGCACCTAATTTGCTTAGATTTGCATGTTTGCATATTAAATCAAATCAGTGTATCCACAGCACCCATGGTAATGACTCAGGAGTCACAGCTCAGATTTGTATAGGTCTTTGAGCAGCAAGGGCTGGAAAGCAGAAGGTAGATAGGGCGGCATAGCAGTTGTAGTCACCAAAGTCATTGTTCAGAAAGCCTTGGGGGACAGTCACGGGAGGAGGCTCAGCTCTGCCTCCCCTTTATTGGCATGGGAGGTAGACCAGCTCCCCTAAGTGGTCCAAGCCTGGGACCAGCTTCAGCTAGACTGGAAGGAGCATGTCAGGCACATATCCCAAAGGGATCTGGAGGGGGTTGGTTTCCCGCCCATCACTCTGACTCTAAGAACAAAACGCCAGTCCATGCAGATCTTTCTGCCTTATATTATGCAGCTAAGCTATGACATTTCCCAAGCACCCTCCCTTTCCCTCTGCTGCTCCCTTTCCAAAGGTGCTGGGAGAAAATGAATTGACCCCAAAGGATAAGCTGGAGAAATGTGCCAGAGACAGGGTCTTGGCGCATTCCTTGCTCTCCGATCTGCTCAAGGACATAAAGAATAGAGTGGATCAAAACACACACAACAACAATGACAAAAATAAAAAGATGAAGCTCAGAGTGTGGGACTTCTGAGACTATAAGCAAAGGCGACCTTGGGGAACAAGACATAGTCACAGCAGTGAGCCACTTACCTGCCTGAGAGGTGTGCCCATCCAGGTGGGGTGATAATTGCTTTCTCTTTCCTCCTTTAAGGGACACCTGATGTGTCACAGTTTGTTTCATAGGTGATGCTCAAACCAACGGGAGGGATTTTGCATGTGTGTGTGTTTCTCTTGCCTATCTGCCTCTGCCACAGATAGTTCATTGAGTATTTGAAAATAAGGTTTTTCACAGGAACAAATTCCTCTTCAATCTGATAGAAGTGACTATAGGAAGTGGAGCGGGAGAGGAGAGACAACTGGAGGGGGCTTGGAAGGATGAAGAGAAGGAGGGGCTTGTGTTACCATGGAGACCCAAAGCTGCAGTGGCTTTAATCCAGTGCCCAGCCCTCCCCTTACCTGCCACTTTCTCTTCTATGAACACCCAAGGCTGCTGCAGCTGGTACCCCGAGCTTCTGTGCACTTGCCTAGGAAGTGCAGCATCAGGGAGCTCTCTCACAGAACCATCCTATGGGACAGGACATGCAAAGCTGCAGGACAGAGAAGAGCTTGGCAGGAGAGGAGGGCAAGGAGTCCCTGCTTCTTGCAGGGGCATCACGAGCCAAATGAGGAAGCTGAAGGAAGTTTTGTCTTTAGCAACCCCCTTTCTGGATCCTCTGCCTGCCAAACCTTGGCCTTCCCTGTCTCCCTGCACTGATCTTAAGAGAGAGGTTGGGAGATATCTTCCATCTGGCCATCTTTTGAACACTTGAATTTCTAAACACATAGACAATGTGGCCCAAGCTGGAGTTCAGTGCCATCGTATGTTTCTTCCCTTTCTTCTTCCTTAGACATATTCTGTCTTTGCTATTCTCTCTGCTCCTCTGCTTTTCCTTCTAATTTTTCCCTTTTCTCCAAAGAATGGAGATGAGTGAAAAGGAAAGGAGAAGTGGAAGCGTGCTAAGTCATGGCATTGGTAACTCAGTGTGTGTTCTTATCTCTACCTCTCTGGTATATCTTTGGGTGAATTTTCTAACCTCCCTTGGCCTCACTGTCCTCCTTCTGTTGGACTAGATAATCTCTGACACCATATTTCAGTCTCTCTGTGATTGCAATCCAGAAACAGGTAGGTCAAACCATATAACCAACCAGGTGTCTCAAACCCAGCACAGTTGCACTCACCATCTTCCACCCCAAACCACACCTATTGTGCTTCCATCCCAGTGAATGGCATTATTTTCTACCAAGTTGCCCAAACTGGAGACCAGGTATGCTTCCTAGACTTTCCTTGTCATTCTCTAACATCTATTCCATCACCAAGAATGAAAAATAACTCGAATCCATCCTCTTTTTATCATACCCCCTGTCACAGCCTGACTAGTTCAGTCATCCATTGTACCACCAGGCCACCATCTTCTTATCATAGTGGCCTCCTTACTGGTTTCCCTGTTAGACCAGTCGGAGTCATCTGTCCAATATGGGCTTCTGATCATATTGCAGCAAGTTAATTCAATGGTTTTGCAGACTCTGTTGAATACAATCTGAAGTCATTAGCACATCATTACAAGCACAGTTCATTATCCAATTTTGTCTTCACTTGGTTAAATTGTACCCACTCTATATTTATACTCTGTCCTGCAAAATTTAACTCCTTGTACTTACTTAAACACAACACATTTTCTCTCGTGCTTCTGGCCCTTTAGCCTTGAGACTCTCTCTCCCAGGAATGCCCTCTCCCACATTCCTGACACTGGCAAAGTCCTACTATTACTTCCAAGTTTCAACTCAAATGTCACCAGCTGTTGAAAGCCCTCCCTTACTCTCCCATGCCGACCCAGAGTCCCTTCACATAGCTCTCATTGTATATGTACATACATCTTTTAAAGCACACATCACCTACTATCATTGTTGTTTACTCTCCTCTAGAGTATGAGAAATGCTTTTTCTTCTATGGAATTCCAGGGCCTAGCAATAGTTGACACATAGTTGGCACTCTGCTGAATAAATGAATGAATGATGAATGGGTGGAGAAATGAACGTATAGATGAACTTGGCTTGAAAGTTCAGCTGCTCTCCTTAGAGAAAAATAATAACAAAAATGGGAAAGGCCTATTTCTTTTTGGAATCAGGATTGAATCTAATAATAATTAGATTGTAATTAACATGTAACACCTGGCACATTGTAGGTACTAAGGAAAATGTAACTTTCATTTCTCTTCCATTCCCAAAAGGGTTCCTTCTTGATTTCTCTCTTCTACCTTCATCCTTCCTTCTACAGTTACCTGTAGCCCAGGATTCAGAGAGTAGGAACTCTCATGGAATGGTGTGGATCCAAGATGGACAGTTAAAGCTTTTGAAGAAATGGCATTTAAATGTTGGTCATGAGAAGTGTTGGTTCTTGCTCCTTTGGATTGAAAATCTGACTACATTGCTCTCCTGTTTAAAACATTTTAATGGGTTACGATTTGTCTTAGACTGTGACACACAGCCCCCTTACCATGGCCTCCACAGCCCTCCGTCATCAGCCCTGCCTCCCTCCACTTGTTGAGCATCTCTTTGCCGCCACTGCCTCTTACAGCCAGATGAGCCTTTTCTCAGTTGATTTTAGAACCAAGTTTCATCCAGGCTGAACACTTCCCCAGCTGTTGTGACCAGATGACTCTTGATCTGTCCCTCTGAGCGCAGATAAAAACTCACATCCTCGTGGAGCCCTTCCCAAACTCCTCTGTGAGATTGTCCCTACCCCTTTTCCATCCTGCCACCATTTTACTCTTTTTCTTTGGAGCCCCTACCACAGATGTGGTTATTTGGTTATTTATGTAGCTTTTGTTTGTTTGTTTGTTCATTATTTGGCTGTAAGCTTTATGTGGGCGGGGGCCGTATAGGTCTTATGCACCGTTGTACCCTTAACACTCAGCACAAGAAATGGTCCCTTGGAGGTGCTTAGCCGTTTGTTGATTGAAGACTCTAAGGCAGCAACCGCAATTCCTTTTTATCCCACCTATCTCAAAGGAAGTCTGTTTTCCTGGTTTAAAAAAACACACTTTTTAATTTGAATTAGGTTCAGTCAGGCAAAGCTTAAAGTGAGCACCTGGTGTGTACCAGGCTTCACGCTGGGAGCTGGCGGATACAGCGTTAATTGAGAGAGCTTGATGCAAAGAGCCTGAGAGGTCGAATCGGTCCCATGGGGCTCAGGTTCTGACGCTGCCCCACTCACTAGGCTGTGACCCTGAGCAAGTCACCTAATCTCTTTGACTCTAGATGTCCTCTACTGTAAGTCACAATACTGCTTATCATGGAGCCCAAACGAAAGTGTTAGCACCTAAAAGGGCCTTGTCAATTCTGCGACTCTGCTCAAATCCCAGCGGTAACCAAGAATTGGTCTCTGTTCCCTAGAGGCTCCCAGTCTGAGGAGGGGGCCAGTATGGACCCTTATTTCAACGATTCCAACTGAGATGGCCTGTGTTGAGCTCTGGAAGAATGAAACATAAGCTACCGGCTTTGGGCTCGGACATTTTGATTTTTGCAGAGTTATCTCCTTTTTTTTTTTCTTGTTCTCTTCTTTTTTTTCTTTTTTGTTTTTTCTTTCCCTTCCTTCCTTTCGCCCTCCTTTCCTCCTTTCTTTCTTTCCTGCTTTTAATTTTTTGGCCTAAAGTTTTCCAGGATAGCTGTTTCATTTCTCTAATTTAGCAATTCTGTGTGGGGGTGGCGAGAGCAGGACAGAGAAGAGCATCACAGGAGAAGCAGAGGCTGCAGATGTCGAGTTGCCCCAGAGTGAAATCTCTGACCTTGGCCAGCTTGGACAGCCATGTGCCCTGCGGCCAGTCTCACCCTCTCCCCCATCTTGGGCTCGCCCCTCTTGAGGCAGCAAGGCCCCAAGGCAAGGTTGGTGCCTGTCAGGATCTACTTCGTCAGCAGGGAATTGCCCCTATCACAAGTTCTCTTCCCTCACTGGTCTAATTTTACTCTTTTGTCCTTTTATTTAATAGTGAATTTCTGCTGTGAAATTGTATATGAAGAATTGTTCTAGGCTTTGTGGCATTCACAGGCTTCCACATAAGACCCAACCCTGTCATTCAAAGACAATAATAACTGCTGGCATTTACCAATGATTCATGTGTACTATTTATGTGTGACTAATGTGTGCACGGCATAGTCCCTATACTGTCCCTTTGGCATATGATATATATTATTTCATTTAATTGCCACACCAACTCTATGAGGAGAGTGCTATTTTTTTCCCCATTTTACCACTGGGGACACTGAGTGTATGTAATTTGCTCAAGGTCACACAACAGTGATAGGTGGAGCTGGAGTTCTCACGGGGCAGACTGCTCCAGAGCGCAGTTCTGAGCCTGTTTGCCACGTTGCTTCCACCTTCTACTGGGAAAGAGAGGCCTACTGCATAATTACAGCCCAAGAAGAACTGCAAAGATATTGTAAGTGAGAGGAGATACCGGGGCAGGGTGAAGATAAGGATGCACAGAGAGCCATTTGAGAAAGGGCTCCATGCCTCTGGGCAGAGAGAACAGTGGTCAGGGCAGGCCCCCTGAGTGTATGGGAAAGAGGTCATTCTTGCTGGAAGCTGAAGTGAGAATGATAGAACAGAATAGGAGGGTCATGGGAGGTGGAGGAAGACTTGCTTCCAAGGTAATGACCTTGATCACAGGGATGCACTGTTGTACTAATGAGAGGGAGGCGCCTTTGAGGTCCTATGAGGTCTAGGCTTCCCAGAAACGATCTCCTGGGATAGGAATTTTAGATCAAAATATACTGAAGTCGGGGCTTGCCCAGTGGTGTAGCGGTTAAGTTTGCGCAGTCCCCTTTGGTGGCCCAGAGCTCGCTGGTTCAGATCCCAGGTGCAGACCTACACACCATTTATCAAGCCGCACTGTGGCAGCATCCCACATATACAATAGGGGAAGATGGGCACAGATTTTAGCTCAGGGCCAATCCTCCTTAGCAAAAAGAGGAGGATTGGTGATGGATGTTAACTCAGGGCTAATCTTCCTCAAACAAATAAAAAATAGTGGAGTGGCGCTACAGCCTACTGGCTGGAAGTTATTGAGGGCCAAGCAGAGCCTTGATGCTCTGTCTCTTGATTCTGGTGACCCAGCCCTGCTCTCTGACACTCACTCTTTTCTCTGCCCTCTCTTGAAGCTCTTGCAGGAGGCCACCATGAGCTCTCTGTGGTGCTCAGGGACTGGAGATGTCATCGAGGACTGGTGTCGATGTGACTCCACTGCTTTTGGAGCTGATGGACTCCCCACCTGTGCGCCTCTCCCACAACCTGTGTACGATTCCCCTTCTCTGCCTCTCTCTTGCACGCATGCCTCACCATTATTCTGCGAATGTCTACTATTTGCAAAGCAATAGACTGGGTCTTGGGGAACAGAAAGAAAAACATGATACATGAAAGCTGACTTCAGGGAGCTTTCAATCTTCTTGGCACTTGAATTTCTCCTCGAAGGTGGAGAAAGTAGCACAGCATGGCTAGAATATAAGAGGGTAAAAGTGCTGCCTTAGTGGAGGACGTTAGAGATCTATAATGAGACCCTAGCTAGGCCTACACACACTTGCTGGCTGTCAGGCACTGTGTGGAGCAGCTAGGTACTGTTTTCACCCCTCCCCTCCCCATTTAAAAGACAAGGGCATGGATTCAGATGGACTGAATAATTTTTCCAAGGTCATAGAGCACGAAGCAGAGCAATGGCTAAGAAGCCATCATCTTAGCCATCATAGTGTGGCGAGAATACAACTGAGAGATGACTGTGGGTAGAACCAACAGGGCTCAGTGACTGATTGACAGTAGGGGTGAGAAGGAAGGAGAAGTTGACAATAGACTTAAGACTTATGATTTGGGTAGCTGGGAAGATGAATAGACCACAGCTGAAAAAAGAAGCGTCAAAGGATAAACAGGTTTAAGGAAGAGGCTGGTTGTGTGTGGACCTGCCTTGGAGTTGTAGTGGGGCAGCCCTATAGAGATGTTCAGTGGTCAGAGGGAAGGATGGTCTGGAGGTCGGTAAAAAAGCACATTAGAGATAAGAAGATTTAAATCAACCCCAAAGAAATAAGAAATGAAGCCACAGCTATGAGAAAGGATGCTCCCGAATAAGTATCACTGGGAAGAGCAGAGAGTCAGAGATGAGCATTAGGGGGTATCTGCATTTGAGGGGTGAACAGAGGACAAGTGCTGCAAAGGTGGCTGAGGATAAATGTGTCCACTTTCCTTCCTCCCCGGGGAAGGCTGAACAGAACTGGCCGAGCTCATGTAAATCCTCAGGCTAGGGCCTGAGGCAGGAACACATTTTAGCCTCTAATATGGCATCTGCCATGAGAGTGAAGCACAGAAATATCATGTCTACAGAAGAGTGCTGGTAGGATGGGCTGGCAAGGCAAAGAAGGCCCGAAGTAAGGATCAGGACCCACGGTAACTGGAGGGCTGAGCAAGCAGGAGCAAGATGGCAGCAGGAAACCAGCAAGGGAGAGGCTGGTCTCAGTGAACACTGCCCTCTGGCCTGTTACATGGAAGTGCGAGTGGGCATTAAAGGGCCAGGATTGAGCAGGAAGAAAACTGAGAAAGAGGAGAACACAATAGCAGAATATCATTATAAGCCAAGGTCTTCTCTTGTCTACAAGCCTTCTCTCTGTGGGTAGTTTTAGATATACCAGCCATTGGCTTCTTGCTCTTTACAGCCATGGCTTGGACCTCTTGAGTCAAAAGAGAATCAAGCTCATTATTAGTAAAAGTCTTTTCTTTTGGTAGAAAGGGAGCCAGTAGAAGAAGGTGGTGCTTCCCAACTGATTCATCAACTAACAAAGCTGCCTTTGACACATAACACTGAAGCCACCAAACAGTTATCATCAGGTGGACACAAGATCCAGCCGTTAGTGTCCTAGGGCTGATTTCATTTCTAAACCTGCATTTGCTAAATGTCAGAGCTAAAGAGCAAATTGGGCTACATTTCCATAAACAGGAACATCTATTAAGGACTTCACTTTCCTTGTCAAATCTAATCACTTCTATCAGTGGCACACCTTAGATTTTGAATTTTTATGGGTAGTTGGAAATAGAAATGCACTCTAGTTTTATACAAGTCTATGTAAATCATACACATTTATTTCATAGTAGAGGCCTTAGTCCGTATTTTCACAGGATCTGAGTTCTCAGAAAGGTTTAGTTATTTACTTAAGCTTCCTACTGCTTTTTCTTCAAAATAGCATTCTGCATATGACTCTAATTAATGAATTTGTCAATATCCGCACTGTTTTGGGTCTATTCCATCTTTAATGTCATATGCAAACTATGCACTCCTTCATAGTAAGCCACTAAGGAGCATGTGTTTTACATTATTTTCCCACTAGTTGAATTCCTTGCTATTGCTCCTACAGCCTCCCGTGGTTTCTTGTTAAAGTTCTTATCACACATTATTATAATCACATGTATAATTGTATGTTTGTCTATTGACCATTTCATAAAAGAAGGGACTGGAGCTGGCTTGTGCACCACTGCATCCTCAGCACTGAACATATTCTTATAAGTAATGTGTGCTTAATAAATATTTGTTGAATTGAAATTGAATGTTGCTTTGGCGTCATCCATCCATCATATCTTGCCCAGTGATCCTTGAGATCAGTGACAGTCATCTGTGAGCTGAGTGGAGGCTAGAGGTCCAGGATTATGGGTGGTTATGGAATATAGGAACCAAGGATGGCAGTGAATGCAGGGATGCAAGTAAGGGAGGGAGGCTCGAACGAGCAGGAACTGGGAAAATTCCCAGAAGTCAGTGGTCTAGGAAGAAACAGGAAACTGGAAAAAAGTGAGAAACCTGAGACACACACATGACGTCAGAACTAGGCAGCGAATTGAAACCACTTGGACCGTTAAGAGATCCATACGAGTGAATGTCAATGATGTTTATTGAGTCTCTTCAGGGTACAAAGAGATATGAGATGACAAGGCAAAAGAGTGGTCAAAATGGACAATTTACATGGAACGAGGAGACTATGAATTGGGAAAAGCAGGGAAAGACTAGAATCAGGAGTCAGGATATTCATAGAAACCCAAGAGCAAAGACAGCAACTGAAATCAGATCCTGAGTTTGCAGACACAGGACGTCACCCTGAGGAGAACTTGACTTGTGGCCAACCTTCTCCTACCCAGTAAAGCCCCTATGAGCATTACTGCCAAACGGAGTCTGTTCCAAGGCCCAGCCAGCAGAAGGCCTGGGAAAGAAGATATGTTAGTACCCACAGCAAGAGGGGAAGCCAGGGTCCTCCAGCAGGGCAGATTCTGGTAGTACTACAGGAATTGAGCCGACTGTGACCTCGTTAATGCAGGGCTCTCCCAGACACCACCTTCAATGGGCCTCAGTATGAGCTTTATAGGCACATTCTCTTATTTTTCAAGAGCACATCCAGATACTATATTTTCACACCCTATAAAGGGCTACCCTAAAAGCTGTACCCACTGACCCTGTAAGATGCAGGCATTCATTCATCTTTGACTCACCTACTTATTTATTTATTTACAAACATATGTTGAGTTCCTAATCTGTAACAGGCACTTAGATAAATAAAATATAGATTTCAAGGGTCTTCAAGAACCTTTACCCTCTGGTGAAGGAGACAGGCCCTCAAAGAGATCATTGTAGTGGTTGGTTAAGAAAGGTTAGAAAGAAGAGTTTATGGTGTCAACATTGAGAAGGTGGCCAGTGGTGGTATCAGAAGACCATTACAGGTCTCCACTGGGTCCCCATTTCATGTTTCTCCCTGTCTGCGTTCAGGCTGAGACTCTCCACGGCTCACGAGCCCAGCAGTACCCTCGTGGTCCTGGAGTGGGAGCACTCAGAGCCTCCCATCGGGGTGCAGATTGTCGACTACCTCATCCGTCAAGAAAAGGTCACTGACAGGATGGACCACTCCAAAGTGGAGACAGGTGAGCATCTCTCCCTTCACAGGCTCACCTTGATCCAGGGTGGTAACAGGAAAAGAAAAATGTCCTGCCTCCTGGCTTTGTCCCAGGTCCCCCGCATCCCAGGGCAATGTGGGAGGAGTAGGGAGCAGCAGCAGCAGCCATCTTGTCCATTTAAGAGTTTTTGCATGGTGAGCATCTGACAAAGTCTTGTTTTGATTCTGTTTTTCTTTTTGTTTATAAAAGAGGTGTCCATTTCATTGCCTCTAGGCACACTCACAAAGAAACAACAATACCGTACACTAGTTATCCTAGCCCACAATTAGGAAACAATTCTGTGCTAACCACTGCCATGATTACAGACAAAAAATTCCTTTGCTAATAACCCCCCTCCAGGCAAAAGCATGTGCAAACAGATGAGCTTACCCCATGTCTTGTCCTAAAGCAAACTCTGCTTTTGCCAGGTCCAGCTAGAAGAGGGAAGTCTTAAAGGAGTGGAAACACCCCATGAAAAATGTTCCATGCCTTCATGTTTTGCTGTCTGCACATAGGGAAAGGTCAATATAAATCAGCCCTAAAACTTACGCATGAGTGTAGTCATCAGCGGGATGGTGGCATCCACAGTCTAACTCAGGGTAAATAGCTTCTGGGGAAACTATCACCAGGCTGGGAGACATATGCACTGCCATCAGGCATAGAGAGCTGTCCACAGCTTCCTCCAGGGTCCTTTCTCCTGATGCGCACAGGTACTGTGAAGGTCTGGCAATGACCATTGACCAGAACAGCTGTTCTCGGCCCATGCCAAGAACACTTCATTAAAGAGCTTGCAGATGTGGTATACACATCTTGCCTTAGTTGTTTCTGAACTAACTATGGACAAATGGCTCTAAATTGATTAGTGAAATATGAAACAGTCAGAAAATACCATTCTTCTAGGTCTTCTTTCTCTATTAAGTATTTAAAAAGACTTGGGATCGAGCGATTTTAATGTTAAGTTCTCATTGAGTTGATCCCATTCCTCATTGCTTGGCTGTTTCTCATGTGTTTTCCATTCCTTCCCCTCTGGGCAGAAACGGTGCTGAGCTTTGTGGACGACATCATCTCTGGAGCGAAGTCTCCTTGTGCCATGCCCTCTCAGGTGCCAGACAAGCAGCTCACCGCCATCTCTCTGATCATACGCTGTCTGGAGCCTGACACCATCTACATGTGAGTGAGACACACCTGCCTGGTTCTTCCTTACTCTGAAGGTCCTGAGGCTTTTAGCTGGTTCCTTTTTGCTCCTTGAGTTCCTTCAGAGGCTTGGAAGCACATTTTGAGTCTTTCAAGTCTTGTCCCAATCAGCATTATAGAGAACCTTCTAGGCACTGGAGGGGGAGGATCAAGAAAGACAATATAGTCCCATCAAAGAGTTTGCAACATAGAGGCGAACTATATAAACAACCAACTTTAACCTCAGGTAGAATGAAATAAACGCTAGATAGAGGAGCAAGGAACGTGTTGTCAAAGAGAAAAGAAAGAAGCATTTAATTCTCACTAGAGTGGACGTCAGCTCACTTGGGTTGTGGAATTTCAGAAGGTAGACTAATGTTAGAAAAGGCACACCAGGCAGAGGAAAAAGCAAGGGCGAAGGCAAGGAGACATAAAGGTGAGTAGCAAGTGGTCCAACAGGGTGGAAGCATTCGGGGAGTAAAAGGGAGTGGAAGAAAGGGAGACTGGGAAAATCGAGTGAATGCTGTAAGTCAGAGGAGATTATTAATTTTTTTGGAGGAAAGAAATAGAATACCAAGAACTCTGCCTTGGAAAGCTAGCTCTAGTGGTATTGAAATAGAGAGTTTATAGAGGTTAGAGAAGAGGTTTTCTTCAAAGAAAACACAGTGAACTCCTCTATCATGGCACGAGGAACAGCCCGCTTCTCTCCGGGAGCCCTTCTCCATCTCTCCCTGTGCTCTGGGAACACTTGTAAAATCTTTGTGAGGCAGACACATAAAAGACACCAGAAGAGGAGAGATAGCGATGGAATCTAAGTCACGATGGGAAAATGTGGGGGCTAAGGCAGAATTCGTAGTGATGTAGTTCTGGAACCTTTTGACCCCATCAGTATGAAAAACATTTAACAGTTTACACAGGAGATCACAAGAATAGAGTCAAGGCTTCCAGAATAAATCATTTCCATTTCCACAGTTAAAGAGGTCAAAGAGGAAAAGCAGGAGAAATGTGAGTGGCATTGATTGCAAGATGAACTCAGATGCTCAGGCTGAATGTCTTCAGTAGAGGAAGCAGAGATGTAACCAGGGGGCCACGCTGATGGAAGTAAAATACGTGAAGAAGAGTGACGTTCTAGAGGAGCTGGAAAATATAGAGACGTAAATGATACTAGTAGGACAAAGGAAGGCAGTCCGCTTATGGTTAGCCTCAGCTCGCTTGCTGTTGGGCATTTGTGGCTCCTCATTAGGACGGGAAGAGACAAGAGGAACAAAGATTTGGGAGTGTAGACCACCTAACCTGGTGTAAAATGCCTCGAACTCAGTGAAACTGGAATGGCCATTTATAATAAGGGCTCAGTAATTCCTGTCACTAAGTCACAACTGTTAATTAGGAATTTTCAGAGTTCTAGGAGCGTGAGGCTGGCATGGTTGTCTGTGGGAAGAACCAGCTCTTCCCCACCCTGGGACCCTCCTCATGTTGGCCTGATTTGGCTTCATTTCTTGATCAAAGAGCTGAAGCTGACACCTTGTCCCACTCCTGCTATCCTTGGTGAACTTTCAGTATTGCCCTCTCATGTCTTGTAAAACAGGAACGTTTGTCAATGTTGTTTATTTTTTTCAATGTGGGGGTCTGAGGGAAAAATCAGCCACCCTCCACTAGATGGCGCTGCAGTTCACACGAAGAGGCCCGTGGGCCCGCCTGGGAGGGATGCTCCACCCTCAAAGGATCCCGGAGGCTGACTTCACTCCCGGGTGTAAGGAGAGGAGCCTGGATTAAGAGTTAAGAACGTGTGGGTCCCAAGCCTGGTTTTGTTTCTAACCTGTAGGTGATTGTAAGTGAGACAAAGTTTCTGCACCTAAGTTTTCTTATCTATAAAATGGAGGAAGGCAGACTTCATTTATAGAGTGCTCACTATGTGTGGGTGCCCCTGGGAACCCTCCCTGACCCTGTGGGATTAGGATTATTGTTCCCATTTTACAACTCAGGAAACTGAGGTTCAGCAACACTGAGTTACTTCCCCAGAATCACACAGCTGGTTGTCTGGGGCGAGGCGGGGGGTTAAGAATCGAATCAGGGTTTGCATTTTCTTCACGTACTGGGACTCACTCCCAGCCACTCCGGCCACAGGAAGGATCTAGGAGCCTGATGTTATTACCTCACATTAAAGCACAGAGCTGGCTCTTCACCTGGGGTCCATGGCGGTAGAGCTTCATTTCAGCACAGCTGGCTTACTTTGTCATCCTGTGCATTTTATTTAATGCATTTAAAAAACGTCATTCTGAGAAGGGTCCATGATACAAAAACAGTTAGGAATTCCTGGGTGAAGGGATCGTAGGGTGTCTGGTCCAACATCTTCATTTTACAGATGAGGAAACTGAGGCCAGGGTAGGGAAGTGACTCCCCCGCCTTCTAGCCCAACCCCAGTTCGTCACAGCATGTGCTCACAGGAGAACCACATGTGTTTTTGGGCATGTGACAGAAGATGGATAATTCAGAAAAAGGGAGCTGGACAGGAGCAGTCAGCAGAAACCGCCACCCCAGGAGGCAGAGAGTGTGACAGGGGCAGACAAAGGCATCGCTCTTGACAGGAGGCCCGGGGACACTCCACACACATCAAGTTTCAGGCCTTGGAGACCCCGGCCCTGGACCAGAGCCAGGCTGTGTGGGTTCTCTCTCTCTCACACACACACACGCACGTGCACACACATGATGCAAGTGTCATCACATGGGCTCTGAGGACGGGCTGAACAGTCGCAGCCAGGCAGCAGTGGACAGGGCCCCGAGCTTCGGACGAGGCAGTAAACCTGCTTACACAGCAGCCCTCCGGGTTGGGGCAGGCTTGTCTCTTCTGTCCAGTAATTCCAGCTAACCCCTTCCTGTCCTGCGAGGGTCAGTGGTAGAACGACGATGCTAATAGATGGAGGAGGCCTTCCTGAAATGGCCGCATGTGCCGTTTCCCCAGGAGAATGTGTAAAGTCTCCCCAGACTTCAACAGTAGGAATAAGCAGGCGGCTCCTTCAGTGTCCCTCCAGGACCCAGGGAGCCGGGACAGCTGGGGAACAGCTCTTAGGGCAAGGGTTGTCTCTACTTAGAAGGCTGCGGGACGATTATATTTGTCAATAATTCCTCAATTAAGTTAAGAATAAAAGGTTATGGGAAGCATTTCCTTTCCTAATACTTTGCGTTGCTATTAAAAATAGTTAGGCCTTGGGCCGGCCCTGTGGCTGAGTGGTTCAAGTTCTGCGCTCTCCGTTTCGGCAGCCTGGGTTTGCAGGTTCAGATCCTAGGTGCAGACCTACTCCACTCATCAGCCATACTGTGGTGGCGTCCCACATACAAATTGTAGGAAGACTGGCACAGATCTTAGCTCAGGGCTAATCTTCCTCAAGCAGAAATAAAGGAGGATTGGCAATGGATGTTAGCTCAGGGTGAATTTTCCTCAGCAAAAGGAAAAACAAATAGTAAGGGCTTAGGACTCTAAGTTTTATGCAAATTGCCCCTTCAGAGTGATGTGCGAATTAATTTAAGCACAGGCGTGTTCATCCCAGCTCAGAATCCCATAGAGTTAGCTGGAACTTACTGCAAGACAGGACACAAAGCAAAGCTGCCCAGAGGAGTGGGACCAGCTGGGGCAGGGCAAGGAGCAACACCATCCCAGGCACTAAGAGAGGGCCCCTCTGACAGCCAGTTTGGTATCTGAGTCTTAGGACATTTCCCATCCCAGTCCAGGGAACCCGCTAGACATTAAAGGCCCAGAGTTAAACAATGGTGGGCTACAAAAGGTGGCTGGAGTCCAGCCACAGGCAGTCTAGGGCAGGTGACCCCTAAGCCTGTCATATACAGGCAGGCCCCATCATGTAGCCTGTCAGCAGGTAGCAAGCCTCCAGCCCTAAGCTGCAGATCCAAGGCTGTGCTCCATCTCAGCCTCAGAACCAGGGCAGCCGCTCAGGAGCGTGGGCTCAAACACACGGTTGGGGAGGGGACAGTGAAGGAAGGGAGCCCAGTGGTAAGGACTGGGGCATAGGCCAGGCTCATGCTAGCAGCCCCATGACCTTGCTGGCCAGAGGGCATCAGCCTGGGGGAGCACAGGGCTTCCTATCTCCTGACTCCAGGAGAACTGACGCAGGAAGAGGTGTCAGGAAAGAGTCTGCAGCAAAGATCAAGTGACCTACCTCTGGGCGGTGAAATCGACCTTCCTACATATCAGGGGCCCCATGGTTGGGCCCTCCAGTGAGAGAAGGGGGCTCACTCAGGCACCAGAGGCAGTCCAGCAAGGTGTGGAGGACAATGTCCATCCTTGGACTCTCCCCCAGCACTCCTGCTCTAGGGAGGGGACACGGATGGGTGGGAGGGGAAACTTCACCTGTGTTTGGGTACCCCAGACCATGAGGTGCAGGGCTACACTCTGCTCTGGCTACCTCTGGGCCCATCCCTGACGGTCTGGAGCGGGAGGGCAAAGGAGGAAGTTGAGACTCTGCCTGAGACCCCGGATGTGGCATAGAGCTTGGAAAAGGAGCAGGTGCCACACGGGGCCAATCCGATGCACCAGTTTCAGGTTTGGTGGCTTCAGTTGCAATTCTAGAAACAGTACCAAGAGGCCAATCAAATGTGTTTGGGGCCAGATGATGGAAGATTCTGGTGGCTGCCATGGAAGGGATCCAGGCAGCTCAGTGTGTGGGGCTGGGAGAAAAGAACCTACTGGGACCTAGGAGGAGAAGGATGGCGGGGAGAGAAGGGAAGCAGGAGCCTGGATCAGGGTGGATCAGGTCAGGGTGGGGTTTAGTACTAGGCAAGACAGTGGATCTGAGCTAAGGAGCAGGGCCCGAGGCAGAGGCGCTGGAATGGACTGAGCCACCTTGTGTGGATCAGGGGAAAGCTGAGCACTGGGTCCTGGTCTCACTGACAGTGAGGAGGCCATGCAGTCCTGCGGGAGTCCACAGGCGCGGTCTGGGCCCTGCACCCACTCAGGTCATCACATCCCAAGTCCTACCAGACCAGGGCTCCTGAGCCTTCTCTGTGAGGTGCCCATCACTCCTAGGGAAGAGGACCTGGGGAAGGCAGAGGGAGGGAAGGTCACACCTGGGGAGCACAGACTCTTACATGGAACATTCTCTGGGTTTCTCTGTGGGGAGGGAGAGATGGATGTAAGGTTGTCTTTTCTCTGCTGAAACACGTATTTCCTGGCGGTCTCATTAGGCAATTTCCACTTCTTTTCTACCTCACTAGACCGTCCAACTGTCTAAGGACCAGCCATGCTTACCTGGGCCACTCCATCTTGGGGCCTCTCTCTTTCTTTCACCTCTCTTCCTCCCTGTAACTCTGCCAAGAGGAAAGAATATCCAGACTTGCCAATAAATGCAGCCTCCCGTGGCGACACAGCAAAAAAGAAAGGGACAGGAAAGGCAGCGTAACGATTTGCTTTGGACTCACTAGGTTAGTCGGTAGAGGCCCTGGGCACCAACACCACAACTTATGTCCGTGGTTATGTTGGAAATCCTCTCTGAGTAGCTGAAGCTAGAGTCTCTCTATTTTTCTCTCCATCCAGCTCCATCACCCAAGGGGAAAATTTACGTGCAGACTTTGAAAGCCAGGGCTCCATCCTCTTCCTCAGGGGACTCTTAGAACCACATCTTCCCATTGTCAGGGGTGGCGCAATGCTTCCGCTGTGGACTCCTGGTCCACAGCGGGTAGCGTCTCAGTGAGGCAGAAGGAGCTACTTGGAGGAAATAGAGCCCCCAGCCACAGGCAAGTCAAGATCCCTCAACTCTGGCTGTTTTGCTTCTGACTTTAAGGAGGAAAATCATCCTCAGTCCTTTGCATGAAAGTCTCAACAGAGCACAAGAGGGAACAGAACAGAATTAACATGATCCAGAGAGTGTTGCGGGTTCCAGGTACCGCACTAGATCTTTCCATACAATGTAACCTCATTTCATCTCCACGGTGACCTACAAACAGTTTTATTATCATCCCTGTTTCACAGATAGGGAAAATAAAGCTCAGAGGAGTTATCTCTTACTCCTGGTGGGGAGCAGAGGCTTACACCCAAGTTCTGACCATCTGTTTCCGTAGATAGCTACTCTCACTCGGCTCAGTGGTTGTCAGAATGGAACTGGCTTCAGAATCACCCAGAAGGCATATAGCACAGATTTTCTGGTCCCCATCTCTAGAGTTCCCATCTCTGATTCAGTTGGCTGGGGCAGGGCATGAGAATTGTCATTGCTATCGAGTTCCCAGGTGATGATGATGCTGCCTTGGGGACCCCACTTTGAGAACTGCTGCTCTATACCACGATGCTTTCCATCAAATAACATACTCAAGACAGCAAATTGCATCCAAGACCCACCAGGAAGCAGTGAGAGGCTCTAGACTGCACACTTTGTGACCTGGGTAGTGCGGTAAAGTGTCCCACAGGGTCGTGAGAACAGCCAGGGGCAAACCCATCTATCTAGCCAAAGCTTGGCTCTCAGCCAGGGCCTCTGGTTCTCTGATAATGATACCCTCCCCTCCCTGCCAGGTTCACCCTGTGGGGAGTGGACAACACAGGACGACGTTCCAGACCAAGTGACGTGATCGTGAAGACCCCTTGCCCTGTGGTGGATGATGTCAAAGCCCAAGGTAAGAGATACTGAGGCTAGCAGAGTCTGCAGAGGGATGCCCCAGGGACCTCCCCTCGTCATGAGGAAAGCGGGAACAAGGGAGGCGAATGGAGCAACCTGGAGTTCATCCAGGAAGGGGGAGAATTCCAGGCCCAGCACAGGAGCGTCACCTCTCCAGGGACACTCCTCAGCCTCTGCCTCTGGCAGAAATCCTCACTGTGTCCCGTTATTCCACGTTGTCAGTAAGTCAAGGAGCCAGTAGGAGATGTGATGAAACCCCAGGCACAAGTGGTCACATACCAGGTGCTTGGGATGTGGTGAAGGACCCGTGACCTCTGCCCTCAGGACGCCACTCAGGTCACTTACACCTTTCATGTTTTTTTGTATATCTGAAAGTTTATCTTGAATTAAAGCACAGAAAGCCTACAGATTTGGAATTAAATGCTATGTTCCTCCCTACCAAAGATGTGTCAAAATCCTTAATTCTATATTTTAGAGTTATTATGGACCAGTTCTTTGGTAAAGCGTCTGTCTTCAGTGCACCAGGATGGGCCCTTGTCAGTTAGGAAGAGTTTGTCTCAGTCAACGTCCATTGCTCAGACTAGCAGCACGCTTCTCGGTGCTCCTTGCCTTGTGATGCTCCCTGGCTGGTCTTGATCGCGTGCCCTGCTCTAAGGCTGAGCACATCCCCTCCACAACCAGGATCTAGCTGTCCTGGGCTCTGCTTCTCCAGGGCTCTGGCACTAGTTAAAGTGATCTGCTCAACCACTAACATCCAGTCAGTAGAACTGGACTGGTAGCATTTGCACATTCATGGAGTCCTTGATGATGCTGGAAGTTTAGGCTGTGCAAGTTTCCGTAAGAGAAATATTGTGACCAAGCTGATTTCTGGTACCCCTCAAAGCACCTTATATGTGGCTCCTGACTCCAGTTGTATGAGGTTGTCCATGAGGGACACAATCCCACAATTTCAAGGGGTGACACCTTGATGATGTGAAAACACAGACAGAAGAGTGACCTAGACTGACTTTAATTAAAATCACTGATGTTGTAGCTCTTCACAGCTTCGGAAAGGATTCACACATCTATTGCCTCATTTAACACGTGTGGCACATTAAAGGCATTGTTATTTTCAACACCGAAATCTGATCATATTAAGGCCCCTTTTTAAAACTCTTTAATGGATTGCCATTCCTCTTGTGACAAAGATCAAGATATTTAACAGACGTGTTAGGACCTAAAGGGAGTGGCCCTTGCCCACTTCTCCAGCCTCTTCTTGCCCAGTCTCCTGGTCAATCTCTGCATTCAGCCTCCCTGTCCTTCTCAGTTCCTCCAACACACCATGTCCACTTCTACCACTGGGCCTTTGCACGTGTTGGACTCACTACCTCAGATGCTCTCCACCCCCACCCCTTTCAACAAATGAACTCTTCTCAGCCTGCAGATTTCAGGTCAAGTGTCCCTTCCCCAGTACAGAAGTGGTCGAGGGTCATTGCTAGATATCCTCATAGTACCATATTTCTTTCATTCGTCTCAGGTTATTATAATCATGTGTTTAATATCTACCTCACTGCACAGCGAGTTCCATGAGAGCAGGGTCCCAGTCTCTTTTTGCCCACTGCTGTGTCCCTAACACTTATAAGACAGCATGGTGACTGATTGGTTACAGAAAAACTTAGGTTCTGGAGTCAGACCACCCAGGTTCAAATTCCTGCTCTTCCATCTAACTACTTGACCTTGAGCAGGTTACTTTCCCTCATGCCTCAGTTTACGAATCTGTAAAATGGGGGTGGGATAATAGTTCTCTAGCTAATAAGATTCTAGTGAGAATTAAATCAATGAATTTATTTAAAGTATTTTTTTAAAAGTGCCCATCCCATAGTAACTGTTAGGTTAATGTTAGGGAATATACATTTTGGGATTATGTCCCTCACAGTCAACCTGATATAACTGGAGTCAGGAGCCATAAAGAAGGCGATTTGGGGGGTACCAGCAAATCAGCTTGGCCACAAGCAGATTTCTCTTATTGAAACTTGCACAACTAAACTTCCAGCACCAGTCAGTGCCTCTGTTAATACGCGAATGCTATCATTAACCATGCGTAGAGTCTGCTTTCTAACAGGAACTCAGTAAGTATTCAGTGGATGCATAGAATATTGCCCCCATTTTAAAGATGCAGAAATTGAGATTCAGAGTTGAATAAATAAGCTGACCAGGGTCACAAAGTTACCATCTAACAGAGCCAGCACTCAGACTCATTATTGGACACCAATTCCTATTTTGCCTACAATGTTAAATTGGCTATCTAGAAGGTTATTACATAAAAGACTGAAACCCTTTTTTTGTCTCTGAATGCCAATGAAGGAAAGACCTACATTAAAAAGCGTTCGCGTTAGATACCAAAAACGTTCTCCCTTTCAGGACTAATGTGTCCACGGGGATGTTCAGTACGACAGACATGCTTCTCTCTGGAGTGAGTCTGCCTGGCTTAGAGGGTATGGACTGAATGACGTTTGAAGAGCTCCACAATCCCTGGATGATCGAATCAGAGTCTGAGGTTGAAAACCTCCAGATGGGAGACCGTCTGGAGACGACCCTTATTTCATCATCTGTTGATTTCTTACTCTAAGCCGGAGAGGAGCAGGTGATGAGAAGCTGCCCCAGCTATTCCTGTTTCGGGAAATTTGCTGATGTCCTTGCCATCAGTGGTAGGCTCCTTGGACCTGCTTGCTGAACAGGCATCAGACTGTTGGGACATCAGGGAGGGGATTAGCAGGGAGCAGGGATGCAGCATAATGCTGCCTGCAGCCATAGATGGATAGGCAGCAAATCTGGAATGAAGAGCGGCCACCATAGAACAGTGTGCGAGGAGAGATCATTATACTTTTTCTCTGTGGGGCTCCTTTGGGTTAACACCAGCCCCGAAGTGTATCAAGATGTGCTTCTGCCCACTTGCGCTCCCTGGCAAAGAAGGGCTCCTGAAATCCCAGCAGACCAGCTGGGAGCATGAGAGGCAATTTAGTGCTGAGAGAATGAAACAACATTCCCACATCCACTTATTCTTCAGCAGGAAGGAGTCCTGTACAGGGCAAATGTGGAGATTCATGAGTTGAACTAATTGAGGGTATCCTGGCAATTAATACAGTTCTAGCAGCTCCACGAAAAAACCATATGCTTTGCCTCCTTCCAACCCAGATGGTGATCATAAATATAACCCACCTGGGTCTGAGTTTAAACCTAATAACAAATGAGAATTATGTTTTAAATGACCCAGAGCATGTCTTCAGCTCCTAATTATATAGCAGGAATCCAGACTCCATTCCTTAAATGAACACTTTTCCTAAACTAGATACTTCCTCTGAAGAATTTCACCACATCATGACACTAAAGCCACCGTGCAAGTAAGTTTCTACTAATGTTTCACTGAAACCATCCTTCCCCCAGTAGGGACAAGCCAGTGTCAGTAATAAGATCAACCCAGTCTCCAGGTTGGGCCATGGCTTTCCAAGAGTTCTTCATGAAGCTTCACTTAGTGAAAGCCAGTTCTCGTCCGTCACTCTCCCGACATCCATCCTCCTTTCCTGATGCCAAACATGAATACTTGTCCATTCCTGCATTTGCTCCTTCCACAGCCATTTACCGAACCCTAATATTAGATGCTAAAGAAACAAAATAGTTAGACTCAGAATCTATTTTCAAGAATTCTGTAATCAGATGTCACAAATTATCAACTCATACAACATATATTCAGCCCTTACTAAATTCCTGGACTAGGCATTAGAGGGCGAAACCCCTGTCTCATAGAGTTTATAAATTAGCAGGGGTGACAAACACCATCAAATAGTAAAATAAATATGATTTCAGATGGCAATATATGTTAGGAAAACAAATAAGCAGGGAAATGGGATAGGAAGTGCAGAGGGAGGAATTTAATTTTAGAGTGGTTTGGGAAGAAGGTGAAGAAGGAAGACACACAGATAGCTGGGGAAGATCATTCCAGATAGAAAAGCAGCAGTACGGAGATCCTTGGCGTGTCAGCAGAAGAGAAAGGAGGCTCCTGTGATGGAGAGGGATGGTGAGAGGGAGAGAATTCACAGAGGAGCTCCGAGAGGCTGCGGGGCCGATCCCATAGGGCCTGGTCCTCAGAGTAGGGAACGAGACTCTGCCCGGGATGGGGATAGGAAGTCCTGACGACTTTGAGCAGAAGAGTGACATGATCAGACAATGTTTCACAGGACCATTCTGTCTGCTGTGTTGAGAATAGCCTCCAGGTAGCAGGTCTAAGGGATTAGGGAGACAAGTTAGAAGGCTATGGCAATACAGAGGAGAGATGATGTTGTTTTCAACTAGGATGCTGTGATAGAGTGGGTGAGAAGTGGTCCAACTCTAAGTTATTTTGATGGTAGAGCCAAAAAGATTTGCTAATGGATTGGACGCGGAGCAGGAGAGAAAGAAGAGTCATGTCACTCTTACCAAATATTGTGAAAAGTGCTGTACAGGGGTATGTAGAGAGTGCTGAGGGAACACGGAAGCGACCACCTAGCTCAACAGCCAGTTGGGATTCATTATCCTCAAGTCTTCCTATGGAATTCTCTGGTCACTTACTTCAATGTGGGGATAGACTGAGGTCTCAGGTAGCTCCCAAGGAATAAAGAAAGTGATGACTTAGGACCTCCGTTCAGGGGACTTTTGTTATAGTGCCAAGGAAGGCATCAGGAGAAGGTGCAGGTGCTTTCCTTATTTCATGGTAAAACAGCAGCCACCCCTGGGGGTTAAGAAAGCTCACTTCTGCCCCTGAGTCACTCCTATCCTTTAAATAAGACTACTTCCCTTGTCTCTTGGACTCCATGTTTGGATCTCTCCCTTTCTCTCTCTCTTGGCATTGGGAAAAGCATGATCTAGTAGAGAACTGGTGATAATAAAAATATACTCTGCTCTTGTCCGACTCTCCCCCTCGCTCACCTTATTCCAGACACCATGGTTATTTGCTGTTTTCAAATATGCCCACCGCCTGCATAGCCTGGGGCCCTCTGGGCTGGCATTTCCTCACTCTGGCATGCTCTCCCCCAGATATCCCGCAGCTCCTTCCCCTCTTCCTCCAAGGCTTGGCTCAAATGTCATCTTTTCAATGAGACCTACCATGATCACCCTATTTAAACTTGCAGCGCCCCACCCAGCACTTCCAATCTTCCACTTTATTTTTCCCCACTTTCTAACACACTGTATTTTACTAATTATGTTTATTGCTTACCCGAATGCCTCCTATCACCAGACCGTAAGTTCCATGAGGCTGAGGAATTTTGTCAGAGTTTCTCCCTGATGTAGACCAAGTGCCTAGAAAAATGTCAAGCACATGGTAAGCGCTCAGTAAAAATTTTATTGAATGAATGAATAAATATACGCATCTTGTGTCCAGACATTGTGCTAAAGGAAGGCTTTACATTTAATATCACTTTTGGTCTCCCAACAGTCTTAGAAGGTATATTGTTAACCATCATTGAACAAAGAAACTAAGACTCAGAGTGGTTAAGTAATGTGTCCAGGCCACACAGCTAGTGTAGTGGAGCCCAAGTCCATTTGATGCCATGGTGCCTGTTCTCACCTGTGCCCCTGGGTCTGAGGGCTTTGGTCCCAGTCCTGTTCATTTATTCGATTGCCTGAGAGATCTTGGCTCCCTTCTCATAGCTCAGTTTACTTTTTTGTGATGAGGCTGTGTATATAGACTCCCTGCCATCTTTTCACCTGCATTTTAACTATTCCTGAACATCATCCATGTTATAAAGAGGGAAGGCAGATCCCTATTTCGAATAACTCAAGACTCCTGTGAAGCTGAAAGCTGGATAAAATGATAACTAAAAATACCTTCTATTCTTTTCCATTCTTAGAGTTAGTGAATTCTTGAGATGCCACGAAAGCGAATAATATCTCTAAATTCTCTCAGTGGAGGTAGGAGGAGCCAGAAATATTCGTGCTCTAGGAGCCTAGCACATAGATCTTTCTGAATATAGCATCCCATTTACTGATGTAGGCTTTGAAGCACACCTTGGAGTTAGATTCTCTTGCTTTCACATTTATTGTGGAACCCGGGCTTATCCCACCTGGTCTCAGGCACGTCCACTACTGCTAGTGGGGAGCATCAGCTTTGTCTAGCTGGGTATTACCGTTGTGTTATAAGAATAGTAAACTGCCAGAAAACACTGTCTCAGCCATCACTGTTCGTCAGTGGAGACTGTCACAACCAGGGCTTGGGGCCTAGGGTGCTATATCGCATCACCAGAAATAAGAACAGATTGATATCAGTAAAAGGGTAGAGAAAGAGCCCCAAACCTCCCTCTCTGGGATCTGGTCTGATCACCCACATTTTTTGTCCCATTGGTCATTCTCGCAGTACACTCTCTGCCTTCCACTGAACACAGCACTATTTTAGAATAGTCCCTCTGCTTTTTCTATCTCAACTCCAGAAATGATGGACTCCCTGCATACCTACTAGGACTCCATCTTATTTGGCACCTACGGGCCAAGCAGAGCAATGTCCTCTACTAGAAATAGTTACCCCAGAATGCATCCCCTAAGACTCTGCCTCCTGTATCTTAAATTGGTTAAACACTACCATCCCCTGAGCATCGGTGCAAGAGAGCAATGGAAAGCAGACATAGTTTGAAATCTTGACTCCAGCCCACACTGGCTATGTGATCTTGGGCAGGTAACCTGGCCTCTCTCTGAATGTCCTCATTTGTAGGACAGAGACATTCATATCCACCTTGCAGTGGTGGTGTAAGGATTGGAATTCACATCTGTAAAGCTCTTGGTAGTCAATAGGCCATTAATAAATAGCTGGGAATACCATAGATCTTTATATTCCAAATCACTATCCACTTTGTCTCTTGATCCTATTTTAACAAACTGAGAATTTTAAAATCCTGAAAGTCTAAATGGATTTCTGGACTGAAATTATTTTTAATGCACCCGAGGGTGCTGGCTACAAGAGTTTAGTTGCTAAAGAATTGGTATATCCTGGTATGCAGAGACATCACTGGAAACCTTGCCCCAAAGTAGATTCAAATTGCTCCCAAAGTTGTGAATTCTATTCACTTAGCTAACCATTTTTGATCTACTATGTTGTTTGGCCCTGTACTAGCCACTTAGGACACTGGGGAAGCAAGATCTGGCCCCTGGCTTCATGAGCAATGGGCAAGATGGAAAAGTAAGAAAATCATTGCAATGTCTGGGTAGAGTAGGAGTAGAAATTTTATCCATTCCAACCCAAGAACCCCCTATAATGATGACTGTGTCATTACCAGCAATCCTGAATTCACTTGGAATTGTGGCAAGGAATCAAGCTACAATGCCTTTATGCTAACAGGGGTCAAGCGGGCAAAGTTCTGGCTTAGAAACCTGTAGACTTCGTTTTTTCATCCCCAGAATTAACACTGGATCTGAGACAAAGAATTGCTCTCCAGGTCTCAGTTCCCAGCTGCTTAGGAAGGAAATGTAAACAAATCTCCTTTCTGACAGGTTTAATGAGAAAACCGTTAATGACAAAGCTTTGAGCTCCATAGGGAAAAATGTGAAGGCTATCCAAATTCACTGCCACTTTGCCGCATCACCAAGTTCAGTCTTCGCAATGTATGCCTTGGAGGTGGAAATATCAAGGATACAAATTAAATTGAAAGATTACTCATTTGGAACTGTAGAATGCACTAGATTAATTTATGTGTCACCACAGATCAACAAGCTTGTCTGCATATTGGTCTGGATGGTCCTAGGAAAGTTTCCACATTTCTGCAGTCATGGGCCCAGGCTGCTGTGGTACTGCGGCCACACTGCGGCCACTCCAGATTCTTCGTGTTGCTCAGGGCATGTCATGACAGTGCCTCGCTGTGTCCCTGAACCAAATGCCTGCCTCCTGCTGCCTGGGGCTTCCCTATTGCTTTTGCAGGACCTACTTGGTACCCAAGTATATGCAACCCAGAAGTGCAGGGGGGTTAATGCTTCATGGGGGCAAACATGAAAGGCCCGCATGGACCATTCATGCATGGGAACTGGAGAGAAAGTCTTCTTCCCTTTTCCCCCTGGATGGACTGGTGGGGATCCAGTAGCTTCGTACATCCTCTCCTGCAAAATGTAGCCACCGGCTCCTTATGTTTGCACTCCCTTATATTTACTCTGCCTACCTTCTTGCCTCATCTCCCTCAATTCTCCCTCCTGCTTTCCTGGGGTTGCACTTGCCAATAAAGTATTAATCTAAGCACTTTTGCCTCAGGCTCTGTATTTTCAGGAAACATGGGTAAAGACAAAGAATATTATAACTGAAATTGACCTTAGAGATATTCTCGTTGAAGGCTTTCATTTTACAGAAGAGAAAACTGAAACCAATGGGGCAGAAGTAAAGTGAATTACTCAAACTGCTTGCTGCAGGCTCTAGGTTCAGTATTCTTTAAGTAACATCATACACCCACATATTTATATGTATATACGCATATATACATATACATATGTGTGTATGAGCATGTATATATGTGTATATACATACATATATATAAAATCTTATTTATTTCCTTTTCTGCCTTCCTTAGAGATAGCAGACAAGATCTACAATCTCTTCAATGGTTATACCAGTGGAAAGGAGCAACAGACCGCCTACAACACGCTTCTGGATCTGGGTTCCCCCACCCTACATCGTGTCCTCTACCACTATAACCAGCACTATGAGAGTTTTGGAGAATTCACCTGGCGGTGTGAGGATGAATTAGGCCCCAGGTAATCAATAAATTTCCTTGCCTCTTTTAAAGACCTCAGCTCTCTGAAATTTTGTATCTCCTCCACTGTAATACTGTGCCCACGAGTTTCCAGAGATTTCCTGGATGAGCTTAGGTACTTGGAGAAGTAAGTCCTATGCTTTTAGACAGCTCAGTTCGTACAGAATAGTTTTGGATAAACTATACTTAAGTAGTCGAGTCATGAATGCATTTCCTGAACTCTGCAAAACACATTGCCCTCGACCTGTTTTACCCCCTCTTTTTCACAGTGACACAACATTCCGAATGTTAAAACTAAAGGAACTGAAAGCTTAGTCTTGTGAAAGAAAATTAGAAATTTTATTGAAGAATTTTAGAATTGAAGAATTTATTGAGGAATATCGAAAGAATTTTATTTTATTGTCCATAGTATTTATTGGTTATCCAAAAAATATTTATTGCACATGAACTTTTTGTATATTATAGGCATTATACAGATATATCTTGAGCTAAGTTCCACATTGTCCTGAAAGACAACGTGAGGTCAGCCAATGACCCACCTTGATATCTACCTTGACCAAAGTTAGGATAGTGTTTGCCAACCTCCTCCGGCCTCAAGGCTACAACTTCCCAATACTCAATACCCACTGCTTTTTAATTGCACACCACCAATAGAGATCTTTGAAAGAGAGGAATGGGAAGAATGTATAGAGATATCATCTTTCTTTTGTTCTGTTCATCATGGCTGTATATTACTGCTTTGGGAAAAACAGATTTCTCTGGAAATACTGGAGTTTTCCCATAGATATGGTGAAGAGGCTTTTCACAGGAATGTTAGTCCCTATCTGTTTCAAAATTATTTAGGCGCCCTTGAAGACAAAAAAAAAATAGGGCAAGGATTGTGAGAATAGAAAAAAGAAAGAAGGAAAATAAAAGAAAATCAACACTGTAGAATCTTCCAGCACTTAGAGAATTCTTGCACTCCAGTCAATAGGGCTGAATGAAAGTATGGCCCAAAAGTCACCCCATTTATCTGACCTCTGACCAAACTGGAGGGAGACTCAGCCTCAGGGTCCTGAGACCCAGCCTCTTATGACCTGAAATTATGAACTTTCCTAGAAGACCAGTGTGCAGGACATTTCTCCCTGTTTTCTTACTTTTGAAGGAAGAAAGAAATTTAGGATTATCTTCCTGAAATAAAATGATTTCATGTGTAAGTTCAGCTAGAATCTTTCTCCATTCCATAAATTATTTCCTGAAGTTTATAAAGGTTGGGAGCCCTTGAGCAAACAGATGCCACTGCTATGGACCAGGACACGGAAGGAAATATATAAGGGACTTTTAATTTGTTTTGTCTCAGTTTTGGTAAAAAGCAAATCCTAGGTTAGAAAGCAGAAACATATTGAGAAATATCCTGCTGCTCAATACCTTATCATTACTCCTGCCCTTGTTATTACTCTCACCTAATGTCATCCCCTCTTTGTAACTCTCTCCCCCACTGCTCACTGCCTTCCACCTCTCCCTCCAATCCCTCCTTCCTCTCTGCTCCCGCCCCGCCCTTCGTCTTCCTTCTGACATCTATTGAGTGTATATCTACAGTTCTTTGTTAGGGAACATAAACGCCACGATTTGAATAGCACTAGCATTGCCTGTATCATCTTGATTTCTAAGGGTATTTGGATTGTTTTAAAAATTTCTCTCTTGTCGGGGCTGGCCCCGTGGCCGAGTGGTTAAGTTCGCGCGCTCCGCTGCAGGCGGCCCAGTGTTTCGTTGGTTTGAATCCTGGGCGCGGACATGACACTGCTCATCAGACTACGCTGAGGCAGCGTCCCACATGCCACAACTAGAAGGACCCACAGCAAAGAATATACAACTATGTACCAGGGGGCTTTGGGGAGAAAAAGGGAAAAAATAAAATCTTAAAAAAAAAAAAAAATTTCTCTCTTGTAACTCAAGAGTCAGGAGGAAAATTGGTTAATGAAGAAAGTAAGCAGGGGAAGAAATGTGGATCTCAGCACAAAGTAAGGCCTGCTGCTGACCATACGCTCTTTTCCCAAAACTCTCCTCCTGGGAGACTCTTTCGTGTGTAATCCTGGTTCTCAAGGCTACATATTAGAAAAAAATGTATAGTTTCATCAGCTGGCGGAAAATAAAGTTTTACTTTTTGGTGTTGTGGATCTCAGGGAGAACCAGAGGAAAGGGAAGGTCCTTTGCGTGGAGATACGTCAACCCACTCTGGAGTTAGCCATGAGAACAAATGGAAAAGGGTCTGTGGGGTACACAGCTCCTGTGAGCAGGCAGAAAGGTCCCCTCAGTTCGGTTAAATCCAATTCTGTTAAAATTCATGGAGGCCTCTGGATTGAGTTGAGGGTTGACATATTTTGACAGGGCCACAGACTCAGAGATGGCCAAGGCAGACCCAAATTTTTATTATTAAAAAAAAAAGTGACCAATAAAAGTAGTCCAAAGACCCATGGGCTAATTAAATCCATTTGTTTGAAAAGATGGCTGGGATGTGTTCCTGTATCCATTTCTTGAAGATGATGCAGATACTGCCCCTCATTCTTCCTTCAATCCCCCTTCCTCTACCTCCCAAGAATTTTTCAGCAACTAATGACATGTAGAGGACAGATTAAGGGGAAGGACTGCCAGAGTGCTTGGTGATGACGACTTTTGGAAAGCCCGCTTGGCCAAACTGCAAAGCTGATAGGCAGAGGAGAGAGCATCTGCCTAAGATACTATTTAGTCGGCAGAGTGTTTGTTTGATTTCCTCTGACCCACCCTTGAAGTTGGAGAAAATATGACTTTCTCTCCAAAGACCTTACACTCTCTTAGCCCCTTGACTTTGCTGCTAAAGCTCAACACCTTTCCTCCCGCGTCATCTCCACCCCTCTCTCAGCATGCCCTCCCAGGAATGCAGTGAGCTGCCAGGACAGAAGAAGAGCAATGAAATGAACGTGGTTATTGTTCTTTGAAAGCTCATACTAGACAGGGTGCAGAAACTTCCAGTTTCTGGAAAGAATTGTTGATTAAATTAGAAAAAAGATGGTTCCTCACATGAGAAAGTAGCCTAGAAGTTGATAAATACTGCAAGGGGTACCGTTCATTGAGCTTTCCAGAACAGCATTTTCCAGCCTCACCTAAGCTTGTTCAAGCAAGTTCAAGCTTCCATGGGTCTCTGGTCACTAGGTCTCTGAAGAAGGAGAACACAGCTGAGTGAGGGACTCCTGCTCCTTCACTCATCCTAAGTGTTCAGAGTCAATGCCAGTGAGGTCTGAGAATTGGCTCTCTGACACCAGAAATGCATGCCAAAAGAAGCCCACACGGCAATGGGACAGAGCATGGTAATAGCCCATTTTCCCAAGCTATGCATAGAGGCTCAACTCTCTATTCCTGGCCCGCAGGGATCACTCCTTTCCAGTGCATGTGAACTTAGGGAGAACTTGCCCTCCTCTGCTCCTTTCTCTCTAGGGATCTGCAGCAGCTCAGGCACCCTCTCATCACCTCCTTTCCCCCTCCTTCAATTGGAGCTCCATGGCAGTGGCCTCCTTCCTTCCTGAGGAAGATGGTGGAACGGAGCAGGAGCTCACCGGGAGGTTAAGTGGGTGATGTGTGCCACTGAGAGTCTGCATTTTCCCAAAGAATGACCATGTGTCAGTGCGTACCAAGGGAATTATTGTCCTCACCCTCAGACTATAATTACCTCCACATAGGCATAATTAGTCACACTTCATATCCCCTGAAATTCAGTATATCGGCTGCTTCTACTCAGTTCAGAAATAGCCTTGCAGAGGGAAGTATTCAGTCAAACACCTTATTTGTCATTTAATGATGATAAATTACTGGCTTTAAAGAAAATTGATTTGATTTGTCTCTCAAGACTGCCAACTCTATGATTTTTAAAGGGCATGCATTCCCACCAAAATATTAGTTAATTTCTCTTCTTTATTTTTTGTTATTGCATTTTGTTTCTCTGTTTCATTTTGGTTCCTGCCCCACTTTGTGCATCCATCCTATTATTTCATTCATGCATTCATTCACTTACAAATGTTTATGGAAAACCCCCTGTTCTACATGCCAATGATAGAACAGTAAGAAAAACCAACAAGGCTCTGCCCTCTTGAAGTTGACAGCCTCACACTATGTGCCTTTCTCACCTTCTCTTCTTTCTAACCTGAGTCTCCTCCATGCTCAATCCACAGGAAAGCTGGCCTCATCCTTTCCCAGCTTGGGGATCTCAGCAGTTGGTGCAATGGACTCCTTCGGGAACCCAAGATAAGCTTGCGCCGCAGCTCCCTCAAGTACCTGGGCTGCCGCTACAGCGAGATCAAGCCCTATGGACTTGACTGGTCAGAGCTCAGCCGGGACCTCAGGAAGACGTGCGAGGAGCAGACCCTTAGTGTCCCCTACAACGATTATGGGGACAGCAAAGACATCTAGCACCATGATGCCAGAGAGCGGCTGCCGAAAGGAAGCAGGAGAGAGGAGGGGGACATTGGGGTTGGTTTGTGGATTTTTAATATTTTTTAATGAAACATTAAAACCTCCACAGGCAACATCTAAACCAGGGAGGAAGTGATCCTTGCTCCTTGCAGAACCTCTTCGGACTGATGTTCTTCATCTGCATGATCAGTCAACGTGCCAGCCAGCGGCTTCATGCAGCGCCATTTCTCTTCAGGGGATTACTTTGGGGCTTGTTTTGTGGTTAATTTGTTTTGTTTATTTTTCTCCCAAGAGGTTCATCAAAATGCAGAAGAGTTCTGTCATGCTTCCCTTGAAGGTCCATCAGGTTGAGGCACCCCATGCTCATTGAGTTCCTGAGTCCCTTGCAACTGGGGACAGAGATGAGGCCAGAAAGTTGTTAGACCAGCCTCAGGCATTCCTCAGGCAGCATCTGGGAGCCTAAGCTCTGCTCATAGAGAAAGACAGTAAGAACACTGGGAAGGGGATACCTGTGTAGGTCTCATGAGTTCTCCCCCCAGGCTCTCCTATTGCTATCTTCACACCTCACAGGTGACCTCAGCCTCTGTTCTGGGCTCCAGTGGGTCTTCTGGATTTTTAGCTCCTTCCCCATTTTAAGGCAGGACTGGAATTAAATCTCCTGTGGCCTCTGCCCTCTCCTCCAAACAATATGATCTTTAAGAGGCAACAACATGATACCTGTCAAATGCATCTTCAGAGTAGTCTAGCTGGGAGAGTAGTTAGCAGTCCACATTTTAGAAAAGGAGCATAGTTCATCGTTTTAAAACACTCCTGTGCCTCCAGGATGGACTTCTCCAGCCCACCAGTATACATCACATGGCTGGATTCTCTTCAGTGTTTGCACCGCTTACCCTGGACAGATAAGCCTTGGTTGATGTCTGCTGTGGTCCAGGAGGGGTTAACACCTCCACGTCAGTGTTTTAGTGAACTAAGGCTATTACTGATCACAGAAAGCTTCTGTCCATTCCCTCCCTTCTTGCTAAATTGCTAAATTATGTTGCTAGTTTTGCAAATCATTGCTCTGGATCACCATCAGCAGAATTCTACCAATTTCCCCTCCCGTCTAGTGGCCAGGAGTAGCAGTGATTCTGTGTAGACGGGCTCCATGGACCGCAGGTAGGGGCCAGGCCCCTGTTTCTGCCCCACTGGCCGAGGATTGGCACAGGCACAAATGGTGGCCCAGCTAACAGAAAGCCCAGCCTTTCAAAAAGAGCTTTGCAGGGCTAAGTGGACCACCAACAGCCTTAGCTGTCCCCAAACACCTTGGAGGCCTGAATACACTCTTTCAGCCACCCTGCCTTTGACCAGGGCTCCTCATTTGGAAACATAAGAGAAAGGTCAGGAAGGAGATGCAGGATCCATAAGACCAGTCACTGAGCCATATTAATTTTTTTTCCGAATAGTAATAATGACAGATTACATTTATTGAGTGCTTACTGTATGCAGATGCTGCTCTTAGCACTTTCATACCACTGAATTCTTACAGCAACCCCGTAAGGGAAGTCCTGTTCTCGGCTCCATTTCGGTGATGAGGAAAGTGAGGCAGAGAGAGGTTATGCAACTTGCCCCAAATGCCTCATTTACTATCTGCTGGAACTACTATATGGATTCAAGCAGTCGGACTCAGAGCACAGGATTCCTCTGCTATGCTCAGCACCGCACTCAGTATTGCCGGGGCAGCTGTCCGAGCTCTAAGCTCCATGGGGGGCCTGCCCAGAGATCTTGGCCTCTCCCACCCTCCATGGTACAGATGTGCCACGGTGCGCTCTGCCGCTGGGGCAAGTGCCCTTTGGGACATGGTCTGCAGTATGAGCCTTCCCCTCTGGAGCCTGGAGCGAAGCCTTCGGTCAGACTGCCAGCACAATCTGCTGTCTGGGTCTTTCCAGAGAAAGATCTAAAGGTTTATTTTGCCCTCTAGAATGCACTTGCCTCAGAGACTCCCCCACATCTGGAGCGAAGGCTGGCAGAAAACTCGGCCCTGCCACTGTGGTCAATGCAGGGCCTCAGGTAAAATGCCTCAAGGGACAAGCCCCTCACCGGAAGGGAGCAGAGAGGAAGATGCCGTAGACAGTTGGACACCCACCAGCAGCAGGGCTGAGGGCAGAGCTTCTGTGCCGCTGCTCCTGTTTGGCTGTCCTTTTATTCAAGTCTGCACAGGAAGGGGGTCTGCGCAGTGTGGGTGGGAGGCTGCCAAGGCTGCGCTACCTTCCTGCCCAGGCAGGGGGTCCGGTACGAGCCCTGGGCCAGGAATGAGGACAGGGAGGGACCTCAGGATCGCCCTTTTTGGTCCCCTCCTTCTGGTTTATTAAAATAAAAGAGGCTCACTCTCCCCCTTTCTCCTTCCATCTTTTCCCGGCTCTCCCAGTCCCTCCAACTCCTTTCCATCTCTTTATCTTTGTCTTCTCCTGTCTGTGACCTTTCCTCCTGGCTGGGGTCCCTTCCTTCTCTGTGATTCTCTTCCTACTTCAGTGTCCCTGGTGCCCTCCTCACTGCACACCTGTGTGCATGTACACACGCACATGCTACACACACACTGTACGCAATCCCACACACCATACACACACAGCACACACACTACAAACACACTCCGTATACACCCCCGCACCCTCACACAACATACACACACACCACACACACATACACACCACACACACACTATAGGTGCACAAATACACTATGCACACTATATACACACACTACACACACACACACACACACACACACTATACACACAACCCCTAGGGCTGGGTCCCACCTACTGTCAGTTAAAAGTAAGGCCAAAATGAATAGGGCAGGAGAGAGTCTTAGGACCCCCTGAGGATGTAACAGGGGGATTTTGCCCTAGGAAGACACTCGCCATCACCCCCTGACATTTCCCGAAGCTTGCCTGGAGGAACCCATCCTGACTAGAAAGGGTGGTGGTACTGGGCCAGTAATCAACCTCAAGTTTCCAAGCTGCCAAACAGGTCTTAATGGAGTCCCTTATGTCTACCCACCCTCTCCCGGCTCTGGGGCTCCCACGAGACCGCCGGTGTCTCCTCTTGAATGGACAGGACCCACTGTGACAGCATTAGACCTCTGAGTGTGCAATCATTTTCCATGGAGTCCGGTCCGGCCATTATTTTTAGTTAATTACACTTCTTGATATTCAGATGTTCTATTAAAAAACTGAGTGTGAAAAAAACCCACTTTACTTCTATAGAAGGAAGAAAGACTATAATGTGACCAGCTTCGGGTATAACAGTATTGTTTAAAGGGATTATTGTACGATTATAAAAAAATGGAATAATCAACTAAATAATAAACAACGCTGTTAGTAAGTGTTGGGTGTGTGGATGCTACTGCGTGTCTTTCAATAATCAGAGTGATCTGGTTGGACCCACTGGGGAACTGTCAGTTTTAAATGTTTCATCTTAGATTCCAAATACATGAGCCTTCTAGCCCATGATCCTAACTAAAAAAAAAAGTTAAATACTTCACAGCAAATTCCAAACCTATTGTTATGAAGTCGTGATTCTCATCTTCTGTCAGCGTCCAAATAATTAGCCAACGGAATGTATTTATTGCATATCTGCTGTATTTCAGCTGCTATTCACAGTGCAGAGGATACGCTGGTGAGTAAGACGATCTTGTTCTCCATCAAAGTACATGGGATTTTACGGGGAAAGTTAGACATTGAACCCGTCATTACAAGGGTGAAGAGAACTATGACACAGAAGCACACCATGCTTTGGGAGTTGCTGAAATTTACACTTTGGGTATCTAAGAAAAATGATGCAAAAGGCCAGCCCTGACACATTGCTGTCTTACTTTCTATAGAAGCGTTTGGGACAGGCCGGCTGTTATGAAATGCTTCATAGTGGGTAGCCCAAACACTCAAATTTTTTTTCTCTCTCTAAAATATAACTTTAAGAAATGTTATCTCTGATGCCACCCAAACATATAATTCCCTTTAAATTCTTCAATAACCAGATATTAAATGTCTGCACACTTTAATAGGCCCTCTTGAAAAGTAATGATAAGAGTTCTAGTCTCCACACGAGCAGGAACTATTAACAGAAAATGAAGACTGTGGCAGTTTTAAAACATGGCCATCAATTCTTTGACACGTCTCCCATCTAGAAGTGTGTTCTATTGCCTGTCCCCTGAAAGGTTTATGACTGTTTTGACCTGCATATTATGATAAAAGTGACACTATGTGACTTCCAAGTCTGAGTCATAAAAGCCCTTGGGCCTTCTGCCTTCTTGTCTGGAAGTCTTGCTCTTGGAGCTCTGAGCCATCACATGAGAAATCTGAGGCCACCATGCTGGGGCCACCGTGCGGGAGAGGTCACGAGGAAGCACTCTGAGTCACTGCCCCAGCTGAGCCCAGCCTTCTAGACATTCCTGCGGAGGCACCAGACACGTGAATGAAGCTGCCCTGGACCCCCAAGACTGATCTCCCTGCCAGCTGCATACCACCCAGCAACTCCTATTAATGTCACATGGAAGAGAAGACTCGCCTGCCCAGCCCTGCCTGAATTCCTCCCCACCAAATGATGCAACAGAATAAAGTGGTGGTGGTTTTAAGCCACTATGGGGATCAGTCTGCTAAATAAACGGGAATTGATTGGGGGCCAACATTGCCTATTCCATCCATCCAATGACAGAGCATTCAGTAAGCCCTGTCCTAGATGTGAATTCACCATGAACAGGAGAGGAGATTTCCTGCAGGCTGGGCTGCATATGCATAACATCCCTCTCACCAAAAAGGTGAGTCTCTCCTCCAACAGAGGAGAGCAAAAAGAGGGGTGGACGTTTCTTCCCAATACTTCTGAGAGGGTGAACCTCAGGAACCGAGACGGAAACCCCAGGACGGGGGACAATTGTTCCAGGGTCAGCAAAAGAAGAAGGGAGAAGACAATTTGAGAAAAAGAAGAAATATTGGAAGGGAAGGGTTTCTTCCAATTACTTTGTTTGTCTGTCCTTTTGTATTTGGAACTTCCTGGATGTGAACGTGGACACCCCACACTTAATATATGCCAGGCACTGTGCTAAACCCTTTAACTGCATAATATTCTTCAATCTTCATTGCAATGCTGTGAAATTCATACTCTTAAGAAAGAGAAGCAGAGTCTCAGAGACTGTATATAACTTGCCCAAGATCACAGCTAAGTAGAAAGAAAGGCATTTCAACCAAGGGCTGTCTCACTCTAACCATCACAACACACTGCCTCTGCCGTTAATGAGTTTGTTTTTCATTGAGTTTCCTGGAAAGGGAAAAACTCCTCCCACTGAGACTTTGCAAATCACTGGCCAGTCACGCTCTGTCAGGCAATAAGAGAGAATGTGGCTGGAGCAGTGCAAACCAAACACTGTCATCAGGAAGACAACACAGAGTGCATAGCTTGTTTCCACAACTCAAGCATATTGTCACCTTTTGTCTGTTTGTTTGGGTTGTTCTGGGGTTTGTTGGGCTTGGTCTTTTTGTCTGTCATGTGAAGACAATGCAGAGCAGAGAAATTCTGACTCTGGCTCTATATGTGCAACATAGCCTGTATTGGGCCATAATGGTTCCTTTGGCCTATTCTCTGTGTTCTCCAGGCATCCATGGTAACTCCCAATACTTGAGTAGAACTTGGGGAACAAAAGCCTCCTGCCCTTCAGGACAGCATAGGCTGATATGCTGATCCAGGACTCAGCCCTGATTTTGATAACCTACTGCCTCCCACCGCTGCTTCCATCATCACCTCCTATTTTATTGTTATTTCAACTGAACCAATTAACCAGCAGCTCAGCGTTGAGTGCAACCTCAACATTATGTAGAAGCAGCTGATGATTTTTCTTACACTTGGGAGTCCAGGACTGGGCTCATGTCTGAACTATTCCAAAGTGAGAAAAAGTGAACCTCTTTCTCCTGGGACTTCACAGTGTGTGCTGTAATTGGATTGATTCCCATAGGGATGGAGAGGTTTTGACATCATGTTTCTTCAGCAAAACTGCTTTTTGTTAGAGTTTATAAATATGCCTTTTCACACAGGGCTACAAATTAGTGTAATTGGTTCCTTACTATCTTTCCCAGTAGGAGATCCTCAGCCATATTCTGTGCTTAATAATTAGGAACGACTTCCTTTGTTTAGAAGGATTCAAATGTCAAGTAACCCTGAGGCTATTGCTATCCAATGAGTCGGACAATGCTCTCTGAGCTACCAATTTAGAGATGAAACCACCTCACACCATGTCCTTGTGATGGCAGGACCTAAGTGCCCATGGGTAAGACTAGGACGGACATGCCTTCACTGTCATTTTGTCCTAGTGACTGTTAAGCATTACGTGGTAATGCATATACTCGTCAAAAGTCAATTGCCTCTTTGTCCTCAGATCTGTTTCTCAACCTTCTGCGGCTCCACTCTGTGTCACATAGAGCTGACTCTTGCAAACTACATTTCCCAGACTCCCTTGTCAACAGGCTGCCAGCCCTGTGGGACCATGGGAGGCACTTGGGGTGGATTGGAGGACAAGAAGAGGTGGGCAGCCAGGGTACTTCTCCCTCTCTGACTTGGATGGTGTCTCTAGCATCTCTTTTGTGATTCCAGCTACATATCTGGCCTAGAATTCCTCTAGCAAATTCCTTCCATACTTTTGGCTCCCTTCAGGTGGCTCCAACTCCTGAGTTTCAGTAACGTCTCATCTCGAAGCAGGAACTGCTTCCTGCGGCTGCTAATCTTTGGGTTGCTGCACAATTCTCTATATGCCCTTTCTCTTATTCCAAAGCCTTACTAATTGCTTTCCCATTTTGAATTTCCTCTATTGGATTACCTAAAATGTGTTCTGTTTTCCTGATTGAGTCTTAACTAGTATATACTTCAAACTAAAAATTATTACATATCATCTGGCATAGGAGCTTTGTAACTCTTTAAGGTCTGAATGACAATCTGGAAGATTAAATTTTGATGCCCAAAGTAAAGAGATTTCCATGAACTCTAAGACTGATTGCAGGGATAGCAAATAGGCTTCTGCTTGAATGCTAAATTTGTTCAAGTGGTAGTGGCTGCCTGTGACTTGAAAAGGCTTCTGAGGATGGATCTGTATTTGGCAGAAAGAGTGATGAGCTCCATGATCAATGCCTGGTATGGGTATGGAAATGGTGAATAGCAAGATGCATGCCATGCATTTGTCTTCCCTGATTTATATGAACAGAATAGGTACAGCATACCTGAAATCAGGACTATCCAGGAAAATCTATTAGACATGCATCATATATTGTACATGACTTACGATACACACAAAAATGAATACAGGTTCATTGTGCATTGATAATGGAAATAGAGTGAGAATGGAAAACACATTTTCGGGACCTTCTGGCCCCATTACTACCTCATCAATTTCACAGCATTTCATTTATGTTTCCTGAACTGTCATTTTTGTTTCTACATCAGTATTTTAAAATAGTCTTAATGGTTTTAATTTGGTATCTTAGGTGGCCTAAAACAAAGGATTTCAAAGTCTCCATCTGTTCCTTCCACTTGAGCAGTGTATCAGTTAGGAGGCAGTCAAGATTTCAACAGAGAGAATTTAATATAGGAATTTGGTTAAAAGATATTAGAAAATCAAAAAGGCAAAAATATTTGAAACACTGAGATAACATAGAGATATTAAAAATAACTACAGGAAGCAGCCACCACTCTTGGGCCAGGAGAACAAAGGGAGGAAGTTGGCTTCACAGAAAGTGGATGTCCTTGAGGAAGAGAAGCCATTTGCCTGGTGCTAGAACCTCTTTGTGGGAACATAATGAGGCTGGTTCTCCAAGCACACGAAGATAACAGAGACTAGAATGAACTGCTGCTGCTGCCACGGTGAAAAGCCACTGGGGGATGAGGCTGACGTGAACAGCAAGCAAACAGCCAGGAACTAGCCCCTTCTCTCTCCATCTTCCTTCCACTCTCCCTCTAGTGCCTCCTATTGACAAAACCTAGCGCAGAATTGACTGACAAAAAGGAACCGAAGTTTGCAATGTTCCTACAGCAGCATCCTAAAGCAAAGTACAAAAGGGTGGGTTTCAGCTGAGAGCAGGTAGCTTAGTAACTGGCAGACGCAGTCTGGAGATCGAACGACATAATGCTTCTGAAGGCACTTAGTGTGGTGCCTGAACATATCTAGTAAGTGCTCAACACTGTTGGTGCCCCATGGCCCTCTTCAGTGTTCCTTAGACACAGAAATGGAACCAAACGTGCCACTGATATTATGCTTTCCCAGTTGCTTTCTCTTGACAGCATTGTAGGGTAGCAAGAAAACATGGTCCAAGGTCGTATTATGCATTCTTTATTACGTGACAAAGATC